TACAGCTCTTCTGAATACTGGCTCATTCCAGCCTGCATTCCTTCTGAAATCATTCTGTATTACAGACTCAGCAGTTTGAGTGTTTGACACCATTTGACACCAGTGGCTCTCAAGCCGGATCAACTCAAAGTCAAAATTTGAAGAAGTGCTCACGTCTGAGGCCCCTGTACTCACTTCTTTTCTTCCTAAGACCTGAGTGGCAAGACTTTATTCCGTCTGCCCAGGAGACTCTGATATGCAACCCAGGACAGTAAACCCTATTTTTATCTTCTACATAAAATAATTAGTTATAACTTAAAGTTTCAGCAACTTTTGCTGCTCATGATGAGGAGAAATCGCCAGAGGTGTGTGTGTGTGTGTGTGTGTGTGTGTGTGTAGCACTGTCCCAATTGTGTGCAAGCTAAGCTGCCCGTGCTGGTCACATCCCTGAGACATTTATGAGGAAGAAAAGGTCCAGAAGGTGTTCAAGGGTGTGATCATGGATTGGCCAGCACCAAGTGAGTTTGCAGCTGGCAACTGGGGAGAGAAGCCAGCAGACTCCCTCAAGCTCCTGGTTGTTATCACAATACAGGCATTTCCACCCAGTCCCAAATTAACATTTTTTTACAGGATGGAAATGAAGGAGAGAGGGAGGGAGGGAAGGAGGGAGGGAGGGAGAAAGGGAGGGAGGGAGGAAAAGAGGGAGGGAGGAAGGAAGGAAAAGAAAAAGACCGCCAGTAGTAATCAGGAACACAACACTGACCCCAAGTGGCAGGAAAGGTAATTTTATCTTCTGGGTTTCCCCCAAAGAGGCAAGAGCCCCCACAGGCTGTGGGACAAAGCTGCAGGGCTCTGAAGAGAGAGAGGCCCATTTACTCCGTGATCTTTGGAGAGCCTGATACACATGGAGCTGGCCAACAGCTGCTGCCTGCTTTCCCCTCAGCATCCGTCAGGGTCTAAATGAGTGTGTCTCATGGTCAATGCACACGAGTGAGAGTCATCGCTTTAGCTTGAATACTGGTGATCTACATCCTAAACGTTTTTTTACCAGAGTATTCTAAAGAGAGTTGGAATTTCACTCAAAATTTTAAGACTCATTTCTGGGTTTAGTTGCTAAAAAGGCAGGTGGAGCCACGTCCCTATGATAGAACACACGTCCCGAGGGTTCAAGCCCTTCATGGGGCACCTCCCATCACTTCCTGGCCATCTGAATGTGTTTAGCTTTTGTTGTGGCTGATGCGCTTTCAGTGTCGTGATGCAGGAAGCCATGCAAGATGAAGGATACCTCTTAGTCAGAGCAGCGGTGGGGAAAGGTGGGTGTGGGGGTGCTGCAGGGACCACAGAGTCCTATCTGTGGGGCTGCCACACATTTAGGTGGCCAAGAAGTGATGGGGAGGGGCAATGGGGGAGACGCAGGTGTGGAGGTGATGCACCAATCCCAGAATCCCTATCCTCTGAGACCAACGCTTTGAAGTAGAGGATGACAGGAAGGGAAACTGAGTCTGTTGCCAAGCCAGTGGTACAGAGTGGGCATGGAGGAGGACAGAGAGTTATCAGCAAGGGCCTTTGAAAGATCCCCCCCATCCTCACCAGTTTTTAAATCATCTTGAAACCCCAATTTCCATCTGCCCCCTGGGGATAATCTTGCCTATTATCAACAATCCCACTTAAACTACTCTCATCTCTTTCTATTTGGGTGCATTTTATAATCACTTGAAAATATTCATTTGTACCAGATCTCTCGCCAACCATCCCTGGTTTCCTAGGAAATAAATTATGGGCTATGTAGATGCACTTGCATCTACAGAAAAGCAGCCTTTACTGCTGATTTTTTTTTCATTACTCCTTGTACTTAACTCCATTTAAATTAACTAGGACTTCATTTTCAAATTAATGTTCTCAAGGGGAAATGTATTACATCATGGCTTTTCATTTAGAAAGCCACAATATTCTCATTACCATCTCAATGTCCGTTGGATTATTAAAGTCATAACTCATATTCTAGGACAGCAGCCTGAATCCAGGCCAGTGACAAGTGAGGAGGGCCTTGTTCCCACTCTTAGCCACAGCTGTGACCTCATCTACCGTGTCACAGGTAGGACATATCTGTTGGAGACGGTCTTTCAAATCCATCCAAACAGTCATGACATTGTTAGACCCATCAGGACCCAGACTCTGGCCCCAGAATCACTAGTACCAGCATGGTGCTGCCTGCCGTTGACTTCAGGGTTGAAGTGTGCCCCTTCAGTCCAAAGCGAATGCCTCTCTTATTTTGGAACAGATTGGCTTGGGGAAGTATTTGGGGTGTATGTTGGGAGCATTTGAGATGGGGAGCTATGTGGAGGCTTTCAGGTCAGAATGGTGTTCCCTTAAATTCAAATGTTGGGGAACTTAATCCCTCTGCAGGTGGGCCCTTTGGGAGATGTTTGCATTATCAACGCATCAATACCATTATAAAAGGGCATGATGATAAAGTCAGCCAGCGACTCCCTTGACTTTCGCCTTCCACCGTGTGAGAAAACAGAAGGATCCCGGAAGCCAGGACAGTGAGCCTAGGCAAATGGGCCAGCTTCGGGTTCAGTGAGAAGCCTTAGAAGCTAAAGACTGAGAGTGATGGAGGAAGATATCTGATGGGCCCCTGGCCTCCACATGCGCAAGCGCGCACGTGCGTGCACACTATACACATACAAGTTACAACTTATTGTTTTGTTGTGTTTCGAGACAGGCTTTCTCTGTGTAGCTTTGTAAACCAGGTGGGCCTCGAACTCACTGCCCGGCTACAAGACACATTTTAAAAACGGTAATATAGCTCCAATAGACCACCAGAGGCTCCACCTGTTCAACACTTAGAGACAGAATTACAAGCTTCAAGAGAGCTATGAGCCTGAAGGAGTCTTGAAGCTTGTAGGCTGTAAGGGAGAATGGAGGGGAGGTGGGCAAGCCATGGACCTCCCCTACTAGTATCACCTGATCTTATTAATGCTTAGGCCATTATCTTCGCCCAGTCAAGCTCTGATGAGTGGAAACTACAGCCACAGACTGGCAACTTCATTAAGACACCGAGAAGGAAGATAGAACCAGTGAACCGACCCCTGCAGTTGACCTTCAGAAAGAACTTCCTAGTGTCCTGCCACAAGTGAAGTCATGTGACTATCCAATAAGCATCCACCCCCAGGAGTCAGAGACAAGCACAGGGCAACGAGGAAAGGCATTGGCTGCCAGGGCTCCAGACAGGCGGATGCCCAGAAAGGATGAGGTGGTATCTAGTTCCATTTCTAAAAGAATATTCTGAGCTGAGTGAGGCGTGAGCAATAAATTTTTAATATCAGTGGAAGTGCCTGAATGTTCTCATACAGCTTGAAGATGTGCTTCCTGAGCCCAGGGAGAACATGCTGTTCGAGTTTGGATTATCAGCTCTCCTTAGGGAACGCTAGGGAGGGTCATCATTCTGGCTGGGTTCCTCTGTGTTGACCTTTCTGAGCTGCCTTCAGGACTTAACTGACTTATACCCCTTCACACTCCATACCGCATTTGATCCCTGAGAGTTAGTCCACACACTAACAGGCCACACACACACACACACACACACACACACACACACACACACACACATACCCGCCACCTGCCTGGGAGGGTCTCCTCCATCCTGCACAATTTCAAAGGACACAGCTCTACAATTGCTCTGTCTAAAGAACTTGCCTCCTTGGAAAGCGGACGATCTGACCCCCTTTAGGACAGCCCACAGAGGTGAAGGAGGCAACCGTCGCCTGGACGCTGGAACACAAAGTCAGCAGCTCTAGCTAGCCGGGGCATGCTCCATCACGTAACGACCACTCATTCTCTTGAAGTCACCACACTCTAGTCATTTTAATGATGGAGGTCCTCGCTATTCAAAATTTTGTCCAGCAGCCAAGACCTGACCTGGTAGTCTGTCAGAGCTGCCTAGCCCCAGTTGCCCTCCCCTCCACCCAGTAAACCAGACCCAGGCCTTTAACAGGCTTCCCCCCCCCCCCCCCGTGGGAAACAGATTGACAGCTGAGTCAGCTTTTGCGATGGTTTTTGAGTGACAGTGATCACTTCCACCTGTTGGCCCACAGCTCTGTGACTGGGGGGGGGGGGGGAGCTTTGATCCTCACAGGCACCCTGAGAAGCCAAGCCTCAGATTTCCATTTTGCCCATCAGGAGGTCAAGGCCCCAAGCACTTCAAGCCCTCTGCAAAGTCAGGAAAGCCCTTGCAGATGTAGCCCCTGGGCAGGAAGCTGCTCTCTCCACCCAGCAGCTCCCAGGTCATTTTAGATTATTCATCTGTTAGCCAACATCTGTCCTGACTAATTACTTAATCTGCATACATGTAAATTACCTATGGCTCCCTGACCTTTTTTTTTCTGTTTTCTGTTTATTTATTTTGGTTTTTTGAGACAGGATTTCTCTGTGTAGTCCTGGCTGTCCTGGAACTCACTCTGTAGACCAAGCTGGCCTTGAACTCCCAGATCTGCCTGCCTCTACCTCCTGGGATTAAAGGCCTGTGCCACCACCACCACAGGCCCCTGCCTTTCTTTTAATCAGCCACAAACTGGCCCTTGCTATTGCTCAGCTCCTTGCCTGCCTTAGCCCATCCTATGAAGCCCAGGCTCTCTGGACCTCAGGCAGCAGCATGACCCCTGACACCTGTCCCTGTGCAGATTCAGCCAAGCTTCACTTGACAACATCCTAGAAGTGGGCCTCTCACATCCGGGCCCTGCTGAGAATGCCGGGTGGGTGCCCTTAAGCTGTTGATCCAGACAGTGCACTAACCCAACACAACATGGGTACCACTGCGTTCAAACACATTCACAGTCATTCTCTCCCAACTGGTCATTTTCCAAGGCATCTTTGGAGGAAGCCCATTTTCTTTCTTTCTTTTTCTTTTCTTTATTTCTTTCTTTCTTTTTTTTTTTTTTTTGTCAGCATTAGGACTTGAGATAGTCCCCTGAAGTCTCCTATAATGGAATTTTATCCCACCCTTTTATGTGCTGCTACTCTGTCTTCGGTATCGATTTATTGTTTGTACTCAACAGAAAGTTTCCAGTGTGGCCCTTTGTTCTAAAAGCTGGAGCTTGAAGGGAAGAAAGTGGAAGTGAGAAACAGATGGAAGGATGAAAGGGAAAAGACACCAAGTGTTTTTAATTCTTTCTCCCCGACTCAGCAGCTACCTTTGAAACTCCGCTTCAGGTACTATTGGTCCCTGGAGAGGGTCATGACACAGAATAGACAAAGAATGAAACCGAGTCAGCAAGTGATGGGCTGGCACTCTGACCTCCCCAAGGACTCCATTTCTCCCCATGATGCCACACCAGCTCTTTGTTTTTTCTCTAACCTCCATGGGCACCCGGGAATCTCAGCCGTCACAGAAGGGTGAGGACCCCCAAACCAGGAAGCAGAAATGAGAGTGACTCCAAACCAAAAACTTGCAGTGGCTTGACCCAAAAGGCAGCATACCCACTTGCCCTGGATTCCGTGTGTTAAAAACTAACATCACAACTTTCCGAGGTCCTGTCCTTCCCCTGAGAAAATGCAGAAGTCCTCTAGCTCCATGTTGTCTGGTTTCTCATTATGTAGACCATCTGAGCCATCTTCATTCAATTTATTGCTACATTAGTCTCAAACCTGGCAAGGGAAATACATTAGCTTTTAATAACACGCCTTAGATGAGTATAGAAATCCATCGATGCCAACCCCTTCTCAGTGTGTATCCTTAAAAATCAGGGGGAGGTGGGGGGGCATTAAATCCTGTGCCCTCTGCAGCTGAGGAAAGAGGGAAACTCAGAACCCATGAGAGAATTTAAAAAATGTTCAGTATTCAGTCATCTGCTGGTAGCACGGGACAGCATGCTGTTAGCAGGCTTCTGATACCCAGTATATATATATTTCTTCAAGATCTCAGGAAGCCAGGAAAGGAAGAGCACCACTTAGGATCTCTTTGAGGGGTTACTCATCTGAATCATAGCTCTGCTTTCTAAGGGGGGGCAATTTTGATTTTATTGCTATAATAAACCTGAAATCAATTCAAAATCTAATCATAACAAGAACTTTGAGAACCCACCCACCATCCTCGACAACAAATGTTGGTGGGGCATCTAGGACACCAGATGCTGGCAAGGCAGACAGGCCCAGCCTCTTCGTCCCTCCCCAGAGGGAAAAGGAAGGTGGGAGGAGACTGGACAGATGTGGGGACCACTGTTCTGAGAGTACCACGTTAAGAAGGCAACTCCAGCGGTAGCACACATGCAATTCTGAAAGTATGGCTGCTAGTGGGCTGTTGCCTTACCTGCTGGCACTAGGGTGTGGTCGAAGGTTCTGGAGTGAGGGGGCAACTTGCAGAACACATCTAGGAAGACCTCTGTGGGCACATGCCATAGAAGACAGGACAGTGTGAAAACAGGGACTCCCTTGGAAATGGTCACCCAGTAAGGTACAGTTGCCAGGCTTGGCCTTTGAAATTATGAAGTCAGCGTCACCGTAGACATCAATAAAGCAAGTGAGATACCCACAGTTCTCCTACACATGCCTCTGCAGGTCTCTTCAACCTGCTGCTTTACTTTCTAACTGTAACAATACGATGACGGGACAAGTGGGAACAATCCACCTGTCTCCCGTGACTCCTCCACTCAACAACCAGTGTCCTTTGGTTTTTGGTTTTTGTTGCTGTTTGCTTTCTTAACTTGGACAATTTGTTAACTCTTTTACTTTTTGCCATGTTTGTGAATCGGGAGATTTTGGAAAGTCCCATTTCAACCAGACATCTTCTTCAAGAAACTTTATGATGTTGGACACATCTGTGGAGTGTCTGGGTTTTTGTGGGGAAAAAAAAAGATGTTGTAGGGAATAGAAGATCATGAGCTGGAGGGATAGCTCAGCCATCAAGGGCTAGGCTGACAACCAAAATTTCCAGAAAAGAAGACCATGAGGGCAAGGCTAAATTCAGACATCACGGAGATGGTTTAGATCTCCTAAATGGGTAACAATGGCTACTTCTGGGCTTCGGAGAAAATGGCTGGTACCCCAGAAGTAAATGGAGATATAATCTGTTCATAATTATTCCTGGTAGAATGCTACTTTCCCATGATTCTCCAGAAATATGGCCTTGAAGTCAGATGTGAGTGTCTTTGTCTGTGCAGCTGTGTGCTGGTCTGCATGTGTTTTCTGTGTGTGCCAGAGTGTGCCTAGATGCCTGCCACATCTGCCTGCTTAGTGGCCTCTGTCCCTGCGAATTGAGTATGTCTTATGTGCCTATGACTCTTTGAATTCTATACCTCCTGGTGAGTATGTCTTATGTGCCTATGACTCTTTGAATTCTATACCTCCTGGTGAGTATGTCTTATGTGCCTATGACTCTTTGAATTCTATACCTCCTGGTGAGTATGTCTTATGTGCCTATGACTCTTTGAATTCTATACCTCCTGGTGAGTATGTCTTATGTGCCTATGACTCTTTGAATTCTATACCTCCTGGTGAGTATGTCTTATGTGCCTATGACTCTTTGAATTCTATACCTCCTGGTCTCCTATGACCTTCCTCCATTCCTAGCACTGGAGCTTGGACTTTATAAACACTGTCTCATGAGCCCTGACCACTCTCATGAGTCCTGACCACTGTCTGGAGCAGGCTCTATTGGTACTGTTTGCAACACACCCATAGCCTGACCACATCTCCCTAGCATAGCTGTCTCCCGGCAGCTTTTCTGCAATCATCTAGCTGGCTACCTGTGCCCATCATTGGCTCCACCAAGAAACCAGGGGAACCTTTTAACTGTTCACAGGACAGGGAACTCTTATGTTCAAACCCCTTTCTGTTGAGCTTTGTCCCTATGAGTGAAGGAAACCCAAAGTCCTTACCCCCCATCACATGCTCTACCCTGGTTAGTAGCTTTAATACTCCTTTGACGTAGCCTACAGTTCTGAGAGGACAGACTTCTCGGTTGAGGAATTGTCTAGATCAGATTGGCCTGTAGGCATCTCAGTGAGGTAGAGTTTTGGTAAATTGAAATGGGATGCCCCACCCACGGTGTGCGGTATCATCCATAGGCAGGTAAAAACTACCTGAATACAAGTTGGCCTACAAGCCAGCTGGAAATCATTATTCTTTGGGGTCCCTGCTTTATTTGACGGTTGTGAAGTGAGTTGCTTGGTCAAAGGTAATGTCATGTGGTAATAGCAATCAGTCATTTCACATTCAAACCGTAACAATTAATTGCAATCACTGAAGGCTGGAGAGATGGCTCAGTGGTTAAGAGCACTGGCTGTTCTTCCAGAGGACCTGGGTTGGTTCCCAGTGCTCACATGGCAGCTCATAACTATCTCTAATTCTAGCCCCTGGGATCTGGTGTTCTCTTCTGGCCTCTGCATGGACATACATGCAGAAATTCTCATGCATATAAAATAATAATTTAAATTAAGGATGTTTAAGTGAGGGCTGGAAAGTTGGCTTAGTGATTGATTAAGAGCACTGCTGTTTCTGCAGAGGACCCGGATTCAATTTCCAGTACCCACATGGAGGCTCACCATTTCCCTGGGCACCAAGCCTGCATGTGGTACACAGACATAAATTCGGACAGAACACTCAAGCACACAAAATAAAATAAATCTTAAAAGGAAAGAGAGCTGAGCGGTGGTGGCGCACACCTTTAATCCCAGCATTCGGGAGGCAGAGGGAGGCAGATCTCTGATTTTGAGCCCAGCCTGGTCTAGAGAGCAAGTTTCAGGATAGCCAGGGCTACACAGAGAAACTCTGTCTTGAAAAAAAATTGATAACAACTGAAAAATGAGCATTGCTAGGAAATATGTACATGTGTATTCATGCATCATAGATGCAAAATATGTACTAACCCAATTAACAAATTTGCTTCTTGCTGTTGTAATTTTACAAATAAATACGTAAAAATTAATTTCCTGTGAATTAACTCAGCAGTAATTGCTTCAGTCCAACCAGAAGTCATTCAAAAGACAGGATGAGTGAACCTGTAGAGACCTTTTCATGTGTCCTGTTTTGTGAGTCCTGGTTGGTACCCATGTGTAGAGGACCATGGTAAAGCTCAAAGACATCTATTTCCCTGATGAAGGCTACCCAAGGGTCTGAATGCAGAAGGGGAAGCCTTTCCCATCCTAAGGCCCGTATTTAAAGTGACAAAGTCATAAATGCTTTGTAAGTATTTAAAGTGACAAAGTCATAAATGCTTTGTAATTTCAATTCGTCAGTCATCATTCAACATAAATGGGCCACTGGCTGGCCTTGAAAATGTTTTAAAAGAAAGATGACACAAGGCCCCTGGGCAAAACGGAAAGAATAAATGACTGTTTGTGGGTAGCTTATTAGTAAATAGCTGGAACTCACAAACTGGAAAAGAGTCACAGCGAAATGACATTTTAAAAATTGGAAGCTTGTAGGTGGAAGGAAAGATAACTCTTTATTGTGTGTTCCTTGCTTGTTCTAGGTCAGAGTAACCATTGCATGGCATCTTCTAGAGACCAAGGTGCAATGCGGAGGGACCGCCCGCCGGAGCATTCCTTCGGCTGCTACTTTGCTTCCGTCTGGCCTGCCTCAAAGCACTGTTGCTAAGCTACTGGGAAAGGTGAAGCGGAGATTGCCAAGAGAGAATTGAAATCACAAACAGATAAAGAGATTGTGAACCAGAGCCTGGCCGCTTTTAAATGAGTTTCAAGCTGCACAAAGCACAGGTCCCCGGGTCGCAGAGAGAGCTGCTGAAGGCAATCTCCGAGGGGAAGCAGAGCGTAATTACAGTCCCCATCCTCACAGTGTCAGAGAAGGACCGTGTCCACTAAGATGCCTGAAAGTTTAAACGAACAAAGAGAAATACTAAGGAACCTTAATGCAGTCTAGAGATGGTACTGATGGTGTCGCTGCCTGGGAGGCAGCACCGGAAATGAACCAATTTCCCCCCATTCCAGGGAAAGTCATCTCCCTACTTGTAACGAAGGGATGAGGAGAAAGTCTTCACCTTGTGTTTGAAAAAAAAAAAAAGATGCGCTCCTGAGGATCTGTGGAAAGCGTGTTGTTCTATGAACTCGGGCTAGCCGATGGGGAGCAGGGTTGAGCCTATGCTCCAACAGGGATACAGGAGGTGAGAGTCCAAGTCCCACCTGAGGCTCAGAGGTAAAGACTAGAGTGGGAGGCAGTGGTGGCAGAGGACCGGTGGCCTGCAGTACAGATGTTCCCGAATCCTCAGCAGCATGGAGACACATCTTCAGACACATCAGCAAAGGCTGTGGATCCGCCCCCTACAGAATTCTAAGCGTAGGAGGTCACAGTTCCCTAACAACGAGCAGCTAGCGCCTTGGTTCACAACCTGCGGGGTCATAACCATCAGAAAACACGTATTTCCGATAGTCTTAGGAACCCCCAACCATAAGTTTATTTTCGTTACTACTTCATAACTGTATTTTTGCTCCTGAGCCATGCCGCGGTTCCTAAGACCATCGGAAATAATGTGTTTTCGTGGTCACGATCCACACAGGGTATGAACCTCTGATGCAGCCCGGGCCGTGTCTCATGCAACCTTCATTAAACTTTCAGTACAAACAAAGAGGCTGATATGTTGGCCGACCTGGTTCACAAATAAAACTGGTTAATGCCAGTCAGGATCTGAACTCCACTTTGTGTGGCCCCACACCGTCCTCCTCCTACTCTCCGATCCATTTCCTTAATGTCATTCAGTGTGTTCCCCATCCCGGGAGAAATAAAAAAGTCTTACTTCTTTAGAAATACAAACTGAGGTTTTGGATAAGGTGATGCAGGTTCAGGGCTTTGTTTCAAAATAATCTGAAGAAGTGGGAGAGAAAACAGCTGTTGGGTCATGAATTGATCACTACTGAAACTACAGGATGAAGGGCATATACTCCCTGCTGCTCTTATGATGTCTGCAATGGAAGCAAAATTTGTATTAAGTAAATACATTTTAACAAAAATTAAAATCCTATTAAGTAAACAAAATTTAACAAGATTATTTTTACTAAATATAGTTTAACAAGAACTAACATTTGTAAAATTTAATAAAAATTTAAACTGTATTAGGGCCGGGCGTTGGTGGCGCACGCCTTTAATCCCAGCACTCGGGAGGCCGAGGCAGGCGGATCTCTGTGAGTTCGAGGCCAGGCTGGACCGACAGCCTCCAAAACAGAGAAACCCTGTCTCGTAAAACCAAAAAAAAAAAAAATTTAAACTGTATTAAAAAACTAAAAATTGTATTAAATGAAATTTAATAAAAATTGAAGGTTTATTCTAGGTAAAATTTAATGCAAATTAAAATTTTATTAAATAAGTAAGTTTTAACAGCGTCAGAAAGCATTGAGAAGTACAGGTTGCTCTAAAACTCACAATAGACCCAACC